GGGGGGGGGGGGGGGGGGGAGTCCAGATTCTTGAAAACATTGACGAGAAACAGGACTCTTGATTCAAGCGGATATAAGCTTAAATCAAAAGGAAATCCGCTCAAATTAAGAGGCTTGGTTCTTGATTTAAGCTTAAATCTGATTGAATCAAGTGTATTTTTTCTTATCGATGTTTTTTAGAGTCTGGACTCTAGATCCAATGTGTTTTTTTCCAGTGTACTGAAAAAGTACTGAATTTCCCTTTTAAGGAGGCACTGAATTTCTTGGAAATGTACTGATTTTTGAGAAGCCTGTTTGATTAGCTACTTTTTTTTTTTTTTTTGAAATCAAATCGAGTCTCTCGCCGAAATCGTCATCCTCAGATTGGATTGCAATCGTGCACTTATCATTTTCTCAATTCGGTGCTTCGAATTGGTGTAAGTCGCAAACGGATGAACGGATAGGTGCCCCAGCTCGGCGCATCGGTCGTCCAACGGATCCCTATCCTGCCGTGCTAAGGGAAAAACGCCGTATGAACCCTCGAGAGTTGCCAACTTTCCTTCGATATAATGTTAATTTTTGACGAAAGTTTTTCGCATTTTCCCTTCGAAATTTTCGTATATTTTACATTAAATCGAGATCAGAATTATCCGAAAAATTTGAGGAAAAATATTTTCGATTAAATTGAGATCGAAATTTTCCGAAAAATTTAAGGAAAAATATTTTCGATTTTCCAACTAAATTCGCTTTTTATCGAAGGGAATTCGGCAACGTCTGAAGGCTTATACGGCATTGTCCGTCAGCATGGCAGTATCCTCCGCGGTGTCATAAAACCGAAGTAACGAGTTGAATAATGAAGAGTGCCGTGTGTTGAGGGTGGGCCGCATCGCCCCCCCCCGCACCCCCTCCCCGTCCTCGGCGCCCCGACGCCCGTGGCGCGACGCTCGATTGAGCGGAATGGCGGGTGCGAGGCGGCCGAGCGGGCGCGCGCCGCATTCTGTGCTCATTCATCGGTGTCGCCGGTTGGAAGCGGCTCGTGAGTCCTCGCTCCCGCATCTTCGTGGTGATCGCATCACTAGACCAGGTAAGGGATTAAGCATCGCAGGGTGACAAGTTCGCGAAATGTCAAGAGATTTTCCCGCGGAAATTCGAAAGCTCCCCCAGCCTGAACGCTCAATTTTATTTCCATTTTTTAAAACTTTGCGCCTTAATTTTTTTGCGGAACAAATTTTTATGAGAAATTGCGCGAAAAAATCAGGAAATTGCACCCTCCTGAAAAGTCGGGGAATTTCGCCTTACCCTGAAATGTCAAGGGTTTTTGCTGCGGAAATTCGGAATTTGCTCTCCCAGCCCGAACGCTCGATTTTATTTCCATCTTTTAAAACTTCGCGCCTTAATTATTTTGTGGAACAAATTTGTACGAGATATTACGCGAAAAAATCAGGGATTTGCACCCTCCTGAAAAGTCGGGGAATTTCGCCTTACCCTGAAATGTCAAGGGTTTTTGCTGCGGAAATTCGGAATTCGCTCTCCCAGCCTGAACGTTCAATTTTATTTCCATTTTTTAAAACTTGGCGCCTAAATTTTTTGGTGGAAAAATTTTTCACGAAAAATCAAGCAAATAAAACAGGGATTTACAAACTTTTTAAAAGTCGAGGAATTTTTCCTAGATCTAAAAAGTTCAAGCATTTCGAAATTTGCTCTTCCAGCTAAGAACGTTCAAGTCCCATTCAAATTTATAAAAACCCTCCGCTTTAAATATTTTGGAAAACAGATTTTTTTGAGGGGTTATGGAAAAAAGTTGGGGGATTTTAGAACCGAAGAAAACTTGTCACGCTGCATTACGATACATGTCTCCTCATCAAAATTTTCCGTAGAAGATAGAGAAAACGCAAAAAATGTCCAAATTCAAGTCACGCGTCAGAAATTAGCGGCTGCCGTTTTGTCAATCCACACTTCGCCACAAAAAGGCACGTGTATTCTTGCACCAAATTGACCCCTAAACTATGTCATAGTTCTGTACAACGCAACATTCTCTCAGTTTTCTGGTTTTCCTTGAAAAAGTGGAAAATTTTGCGAGAGGGTCCGCTACTCACATAAATTTTGAACAGATGAGGAATTTTGAAAAATCAACTCACAAGTGTGAAATTATTGTTTAAAGCTATTTCAAATTACCCTCTTTTGAAAATACCTGATATAACCAGATCAATTAACCATTGCGATTAGAGAGAGTCTCTTGTTCGCCTACTTTCCCTCTCCTTTGGTACACGGCACTTCTCAGCCTTCGAAAAAAAGTTTTCCGCGATCAAGTACATCAAAATGAATTCAGCGGCCGATTTGACTCAAGTTTAAATTTTGGTTTTCTGGCAAGCGGGAACTTCGAATACCTGAAAACTTAAAATAGCCTGTAATCTCTCTTTTACGAATTGAACGTGAAATTCTTCCATGCGTCTATCTTGCTCAACGTTAAATTTTGATGAGGATTCCGAAATTGGACTTCTCTTTGCAATTAAGAACTACACTTTCCGGCCCATTTGGAAGAACACATATGTCTAATGGGAAACTAATTGAACATACGTTGTTTTTACACTGAGCCAGAAATTGCAGTTCCTGATTACAAAATGTAGTCCATTTGGACTACATTTTGCAATTTGGAACAATAAATTCCAGCTCGGTTTAAAAACAACGTATGTGCCATTAGTTTCCCTACGCACACAAGTGTTTTTCCAGAAGAGCCAGAATTTATAATTCCAAATTGCAAAATGCAGTCCAATCAGTTTGCGGTGCTTAATTTCCTACTCTGTACAGTGGTCCGTTTTTCTCAATGAAGAAAGAAACAAAAAAAAAGAAGAATACCGGTGGAAGTGAGGCACTTTTAATAGTAATCAAACGTTAAAATCGCTGGTGATTTTAAGATGAGGTTAAGTATGATTAATGTGCTTCCCTGCATGTCTGTAATTTGAACAATTTAGCCGATGAATTCGTGCAGGGCGCCCGAGAATTCGAAGATCTGTCAGATCCTCCATTCAGTACCCAAATTATTTAATAACGAACACGAGATTTTACTTTTCTGTATTACTCGCCAACCAAAGACCCCACTGTTATAGCTTTCCGATTTAAATTATACTTCATTATAGAGTGTCTACAAGTCCGGAAAAAGTACTGATTTTTTAAGGGCGGTTCGGAAGTACTGAAAAAGTGCGAAAATTCCGCAAGATGGTCCAGAATTTTTTTTCATTTTTTTGTCTTTTTGTCGCTCTTTAAGCAAGAAATTCTAATTTTTGACATTTTTCGAATTTGAGGTACTATTTGGAGGTGCTAAAAAAGCACTGAATATTTATGTTGAGAAGGTACTGAATTTCTTGAGAATGTACTGAGAAATCGCCGTAACAGTCCTGCTTTTTGGCCAGCCTGTTTTAGTAGACACCCTGCGTGGTTTTAACATACTTGATTAGATTAACTCCGTACTGACTTCTGTATGGAAATTCCCCATCTGAATTGTTCCTGAAACTGCAGCTTGAATTTTGAATTGTTATTAGTATAGTCATAAACTTTTTCAACGGATTGACTCAACGCATTTTTGCACATCACATGCATAACTCGGTTCATTGCGCAAAATAAACGGGGGAAATGTGTCAGGACAGAAAATTTCATACGTTTTTAGTCATTGTCAAGGTGGGTTTAATTTTAAAATTCTGTGATACAAGTGAGTCTGAATCTCTGAATAAGAGACAAGGTGGTGAATAAAAATGAACCATGCGGATTGTTGGGGTATAAAGATCATGGAAATTAAGTGGTTCTTTAAATAAATAAATAAATTAATTAATTAATCAATAAATAGTTTTTGAGATTCGTCGATTTAGTATTCGGGTATTTGCGGTGGGCTGTCAATAAGTTGTCGTCAGTTGGTTGAATTCTTCGATGACCTGTTATGATTGCGACGCACCGCCGCCGGTGCCGGTGCCGGTGCCGGGCAGACCTGAAAAAACAACATAATCATTAATGATGATAAACCAATTAATTGAAAAGATCCTACCAAAAGACATGAGCTCTGTCAATATTAGCAGCTGTTAGAAGAATTTATTGTGATTGTTCACTAGCACCCCCTAAAGTAGTGTGTCTTAAGCTGCTATCGCCCTATCAAAACGCCTGCGCAGTCGATAACATTCACGGACCAAATGGACAGTCAAAATTGACCCACCGCCTAATGAGCGGCCTCTACGCATGCGCACTTGGCACGGTCAAGACTGCTCGTGTGATAACTCCTTTAAGACTTACATGAAGTTGCATTACAACCGTCGTCGCGTCGTCAGATATATTTTTCCCCTTCTGAAAGTAAGGACTGTTTTCATACATTTATTTATACATAAACACGTCCATATTTCATTGTCATCGTGTATCTCATGATGCTTGTTCAAATTGAAAGTGAGTTTTTCTGTTTCTTCTCTTCATCAGGTGTTAGCACGATTCATGAACTCTGCTATTTCCCTTCAAAGGTTATACAGTGCTGTCGGGCGGTGTGCATAACCTTCAAGGGGTTCGGTTTTAAGTTTGAAAGCTTGGATCGTTTATTTTTATGCATGCTATCGGATAAGAGGAGGGAGACTCGTTATTATGATAGCTCTTTTTTTCTTTTGGATGGATTCGGTAAAAATCCTCTCGTTATTTCTAGCCCTTTCTTCTGTCGGTGAAACATTTTTCAGTCTCTAACATGAGCATTAGTAAGAAAATGTTCCCACTCACCAATATTATGAGCATTTTGTTTCATCATCGTCACTTATTTGTGTTTGCGGGGCTTCAGGGCGGTTACCGTTATCATTTGGTTTTCCGTTATTTGGCTTTTGCACTGATGAAAATATTTTAAGAAAAATGAATTGGTTTGAAAATTTTAGGAATTACAAGTGAAGCGCCTAGAGGTTAAGAGGCCTTTGTAAATTTCTTTTTCCATCCCATAAAAAATGAAATAAAATCAACCGAAAGATTAGAGTCTTAATGTTTGTGTTGCTGTAGTTTTTAGCAGTTCAAAGTTCTGACGCAAGCACTAAGCGAATTGTACTCTTATTCTTTAAAATTGCTCGAACCAAAAAAGTAAGAAAATTCCAAAAGTTTTCAAGGGAAGTAAAAGTGTTTTGAAGTATAGATGATTAATCCGTAAAAAATCGGTGGCCCCTTTAAAACATTGATAAAGGGGACTTGACGGAAACCAGTGGTCGACTTTTAGTTATATTTCTTTCAGAAGCAACTTGTGAGATAACTAATTAGTAAGTGGAGTTTAGTTCCGGCTACATAAAGTTCATTGTAGGTCAAGATGAGAGGCAAAACTCATGTTATGATTCTGATTCATCCTTTATTATTTTATTTTATTTTTTTTTATTGAATATTTATATTGGCATGCGATCAACAATTGGGTCTATGTGTGACAAGATCGTTACTGTAATCACACAAAGCCTGTGCAAAAACTGAAGGACGTTAGCAAGCGGCGTTACCTAATTCTGAAGTTTCCCGAGTCCTTACGTCTCGCACGAAACTGAAAATATTGTGTCGGATGCTTTCACATTTACATTTCAGTTTCTTCACAGCTTGGCTCTTGAAGTTCTCTTTTTAAAAATACCCAACCTTTTTTTTTTTTTTTTAATCGAAGATCAAACTTTATTAATCTGTCAGCTGTTTCTAGTATTTTTTGTATTCTCTTAATGCAATTTTTCCGAATTCCTTACCGTTAGTGTATTGCTGCCAGTGCTCTGGCTTCATATACTCTCCGTAGCCTCCTGTTGGCATGGTTGGCATTGATGGGACTGTTGGCATGTTGGTTGGCATTGATGGGACTGTTGGGACGTTGGTTGGGAAGCTTGGCGGCTTGTAGTTCGAGATACCTGAGATGTCGCTAGGTATTTGAGGCACCTGAGGCACGTAAGTCTGTCTTCTAAATCGAGAGGGGAATTTCGGATATCCTCCATCTAGTTTTGCCTGCAAATAAATATTTGAATTATAATCGCTTCTCAGTTAGTATACAAGAACAAAATCGGGAAGAAATGGCTTTTTCATCAATTTGAAGAATCAAATTACCTCCTATGTATGCCACCACCCATTCCCGTAGATCAGAAAATGGTAAAGATTGGAATACCCACAATTTACTTCAATATTTTTAGCGTGGGGGTTGCCACAACTTGTATGAGTTTGATAATATGAGAACCTTGTTTCAAAATTTTGCCTGCCAGAAAAAAGGGGGACCAAAATGTTAGAAGAGAACATAGGAAAGTGATGTAATGAACGTTCATTCACTTGTACTGATGTCCAAGATCATCCAGACTCGGGCGCACCAAAAACTCGGATAAATTATGATTATTTTTATATTTTTGCTCCTCATGGTGATTGAGAATATTTTGACTAGACTGAAATATCTCCAAGTTTGCAAAAAAAAAAAAAAAAAAAAACAACCTTAAAGCGTGATTTTCTCTTTCAGCTGCATTTCTCTAAAAACGAATCGTACAAGGCATTGCTCTTGCGTTGGTGGAATTTTCAATTGATTTTTCATGTGTTATTATCTACTCCCTTATTACGATTCCCAATGAAAAACACAACCCTTTAATTTTTTAGCGCAGTTACCGTTGATAAAATGTCTTTCCTGGGAAAAAATTTTGAACCTCTTAGTCGATTACTCCGTTCTTATGCCTAACGAAGTGCTCAGACTGAACGTCCGTATCCACACACACACAGTCAAGAATACGTATAGGTCTAGTCTCTAATCTTCGCGATTTTGCAGCAAGCTTTTGTCAAACCTCAATTTTATCACGTGATTAGCAAGGAATAATTCTAAAGCTTTGACTTCATAGTGTTTTGTATTTTGAATTTTCTAGCAAATTCGGTTTTTCAGTCTACGTGGCTGTCCGCTTTCCCTCTGAACTTTATGTTGTATCTCAGTAACATTACGCCAGTCTAGAACTTACCAATTTTTATAACGAAGTTCATCCACAGCAATATTTAGGTACCCAAAACGAATAGAAAAAAGGAACAGAAAAAACAAAAACACATTACTTGGCGAAGATATGAAAACTCGTGTCATACTACTATTATAGTGTAATGAATGAGTAATATTCATATGTCGAGTCACAGTTTTTCTGACATAAGGAAGAAACAAGTTGAAACTTGTTGTATCTTCTTATCCTTCTTGTACGATTAGATGGCTTTTTAAAACCATTGTAAATCGATTAGTGCAATACTTAGACTTAGACCTGCAATCCAATGACAGCACATAACTTTTTTTGCCGCAAGTTAATTTTTGCCAGTAAATATCGTATCTACTTTATTAATAACCGCGCATATTGTTCGCAAATATCATGGGCTGTTCTTAAGTTGATTTTCAAACAGTTTTCCTCATTAAAGAAAGTTCATCAGAATAGTTTGCATTGCGAGAGAGTTAGGTTTCGGTTTTAATTAGGGATCAGAACATTAATGTTCCAATACACTTTGAGTAAAAATCTCTACACTCTGTTACCGATTTAGTGAAAGTGCTTTGAACTTCCAGCGCACCGCGGCGCATCAAATACATACANGATTTCTGAAATAAAAAAGTAGGGGTGCCATTTGAAAATTTCGACTTACGGGTGGGGCACCCCCCGCCCCGCGCCCCTCCCGCGGTTTGGAAAAATGTCGAATACGCCAAAAGGTGTCCCCCTCGATATAAACGAACACGTCTTTTACCGTTTTTCGAAATTCCGACGCGTTCGGTAGATATTCAAGGTGGCTCGTTTTTCGTGAGACACCCTGTATATCTTCAGTAAACTGTGCCTATATTCCTCGGCCAGGCCTTTGTCATATTTCTATTCCTGCAATTTAGTCCCAGCTCCAACGTTTTGACTCACTCACCGTCAGAGCTCACAGACGAGGCAGTATCACAGATATAAAAAGCTTTGACGATTAAGAAGATTTTAAGGATGAACTTGGGCTTTACACCCATGGATACTCGAAAGCTTTTTCCCCCAATTATTCTACCCTCAATCAATCTATCTTCAGTAGAAAAATAATCACGTGTGGAATATCTATGATTGAAATATTTAGAAAACACTCACAGGGAGAAAAGAAAACTTCGATTCAATTAAAACACCAACGTTTTCAGTTATGAGAACTGAACTTCAGCCAAGATAAGTCGGATTTCCCGCTCCCCAAAAAACCAAAGTCCAATTGAGTCAAATCAGTCACTCAATTCACTCTGGCATGCTTTACAATGATACAAATTTATCCAATTTTCAGTTTGGAATTTTTCTTTGCAACATGAGAAGTGCTTTGCCCTGGAAGAGGTAGGAAGTCAGTTTGATACAAAACTCGTGCCATTTACCGTACGTTCGTAAATTTCCAATGGCTTTTTTGACCCATATTGAGTTTGGTTTTATCGTGAGCGGAAAGTTAAAGTGCACCGATTCTATTATAAATACAATCGATTTTTGCCTAATTAGTTGATTTTGGAAATTTTCAATGTTTGATCTGTTCGAAGTGAAATTTTTATGATGAAACAGGTCTTTAGGAGTTGCAATATTTACTTTGTAAAGTGGTCTATCTTAAGCCCTTTTCCCCCCAAAGTAAATATGCGTAAGAAAAATTACTCACCGCTTGAGCTGCTTCATCGGCAACGACTGAGTCTGCGAAAAAAAAAAAAAAAATCAACAATGATGATACCCACCAAAAATGTTGTAAAATCAGCTCTTGAAAATACTGAAAAATCATACAAGCCATGGAGAAAATTAGCCCCCCTCCCCTCCCAGCGAGTTTTATTCAACAACTTAAGAACGAGGTAAAATTTTGTGTCCGAAGTCTTCCGATCTAAACCGTACCATGTCCATGAAAAAAAAGAACAGAAAAAGGAAGGAAAAAAATGAAAATTACTTTTAAAAGTATCGTAAAATTAAGTAACTTTAGTTTTGAACAGCTTTTCCTTTCAAATCACCTATCTTTACCAGTGTTACTAAAACGGAGTGCTTCCCTTAGCAAAAATTAACAGAAATACTGGAACGACAACATTTCTCTAAAATTTCCGTCTTATACACGAATTTTTATCGAACATGCTTTCCCGAGTAAAAAATAACGGGAAAACTGCAACGACAAAAATTGTGTTACAATTTCCGTCTTACACAAGTGTTTTTATCGAACTTTTAGCCTCATTCTAAAGGTCTACGGTAAGAACTTGTCCTGTTTTTCGTCTTTACTGTAAACGACTTGAAAGATAGAAAGATTTTTAATACAAATACGTGCGGGAAAGTGGAGAGGGGGAACTAGAAAGGAAAAGAGAGATTTCCGCATTTTCGAGTATTTCAGTTGAAAAACTAAAAAAATACCCATGAGGAAAAATGATTCAAGACTAAGAAAACTATTCGAAGCTCTCCTTTTCCTAAAGGTATTAGCGTTTGTGCAAGGTTTACGGCAGAGGTGCAAATCATTCTAGGCCTCCGCAATTTTCTTAGCGGCCCCCGAAATTTTCTGCTATGCGCTGGATTTTTTCAAAAAGGTTAACACAACACGCCGATCGAAATTAAGGCGCTGGGTGCAGAAAGAGCATTTCTTGGTTGCGGTTTCCAAGAATTTCCGCTAAAGTTGCATCCATTCAGACTGAAGCAAATTCACGGAATTCGTTGAAACTTTCACCGAATTTTCTATATGAAGAATTTTTTTCATAGAGAACATAGTGTTAACTCTGTCCAGAGCGCACACTTCAGTCGAAGTCAAGTTTCATGTTAAGGATACATACTACCATGCTAAGGAAGAACGCCGTATGGACATTCGGGAGTTGCCAAATTTCCTTTGATAAAATGTTCATTTATGAGAAAAATTATGAATATTTTTCCTCGAAATTTTCAGAGACTTTAGATCAGAATACAAGGAATATTCTCTGAAAAATCGGAAGAAATATATTCATAAGTTTACCAGGGAATTCGTGTTCAATCGAAGACAATTTGGCAACGCGTGAAGGTTCATACGGCGTTTTTCCTTGGCATGCATATCGGTGGCCAAAACGCAAAACCACGTATCTTTATCGCGGTGTTTCAAATTTACCGCTACAAATTTATTTTTTCAAAGAGAAAGAAGCCAATTTTACAGCTCGAAATTAATTTAGAATATTCTGCTGATACAAAAGAAAAATTGAAACAGTTTTCAAGAAATTGCGCTGACTAGTTTTTCTAAGAAACATCATACTATGACCGGAAGTCTGGAACGTCGCAAACGGAGATATGTGGTTTCGCACTTTGGCCATCGATGTTTTACACTAAACCGAGACCGATTAACCTTGCTCGGTGACGTCATATTTAAAAGCGATTTTGTTCTACTACGATTCTTCTTATCTATGTATTTAACTAAAACAGACCTAATTATTGACAGGAGTGCGTACGCGGTGCGCTTCCGCGTTACTAGATGCGATATATCGATCGATCTGCCATTTAAACCCATGGAAAAGATCGATAAACAGGGTGTTCGCAGCGAACACCTTAATGATCGATTCTTTACCATAGCTTCAAATGGGGGAATATCGATATACCGCAAAGCACGCCACGCCACTAATTAACCGCATTAATGAAATTTAGAGGAAATGGAACTTGGAGCGTCGAGCGGATATTTTTTTCGTTTTTAATAATAAATTCTCTTTCCGTTATTTGCGTACTTTTCTTTATGGTTTGAATAACGCGAGAGAATATTAACGATTATCTTTACTGACCACTTCATCTTATTCAAGTCTAACAGAGAAAAAACTGATTCCACTTCATCTTATTCAAGTCTAACACAGAAAAAACTGATTTCTTTCAAAAACCTAGTGCAAAACGAAGAAAAAGAAAAACATCAATGCATCCGGTATAAAGATATGCATATGGATTTCTAGTTTAGTCCACGTGAATGCCTCATCGTGAATTTCACGATGTGTACAAAGTCTTTGTATGTTTCCTGAGTCTCGCGAGTGAGAAAAAACTTCGAAAAATGCAAGGGAAACATTTCACAAAAAAATTTTTTTACAAAAAAAGTGCTCTTTTACGTTATGTTATAGTTGCAGTTCAGGCAGTTCTCTCTGTTCTGATAATGCAGCTCATGTACTCTTCCTTTCATCTTTTAGTTTACTAAACATGTGACCTCTCTCGCGAAAAGCGTTTCTGACAAGTAAATGTGAAATGATAAAGTGGAAAGCGCCTCTTGTCAAATTGTTTCCCTTTCCCTTGTAAAAGCCTGGAAAATCCGGAAAATTTTAGCTTTCTTGACACGGGCAGGAAGCTTTTCCTCCACCTTGATCTTTCTCTATATCGTGTAGAACGTTGTATACGGTAAACTTTACTTAAAAAAGGCAAAATGAGAATTTTGAGGTCAGTTTTGAAAGGGAAAACAAAATAGCCATCTTAGATTACGTTAAACTGCCGACAAGAGAGGCAGGAAATTTTTGTAATAGTGGCGAAGAAGGAAAAGTCGAGAAACTATTAAATAGCTGGTGTGTAAAAAGTGCTCAACTTGTGGAACAGGGGAGAGGGGGTAAGAACTGAATTCAGCCAATATTTTTTGGTAAATACGAAATGTTTGTGGTAATATTATTCTGGGAATTCCGGAATACAAGAGAACCTGGTAACGTGAACAAAAAATTAGAAATTTCTCGTTTTTAAATGACGTACTCCGGAACGTGTTTTCAACCTTAAAGTTAGGAATTTTTCGAAATGAACGAAATACGATTATAAATTTCGAAACTCGTGCCTAGTTCTTTCAACGTAAAATATCAGGAAAAAAAAATTGGAGGGAAAAAAATTGAATTCGCTAAAATTACTTTTTCACAATTTCCCTCTTTCCGAGTAGTGCACTTTTCGAAAAGAACGTTTCAATTTTCCTGGTGTTCGCGGGCACCCCCGTTTTTAAACACTTGACCAGGAAAGTTAGGGGAAACTTACTTATGACGACGGCGGACAGAGCAAGGGCGGCCAGGGCGAATTTCAAGGAAGCCATCTCGGTGAGGTTTGCACTGCGTTGTGTGACGGTCGAAGAATTGCGAACTAATAACTGATGCCATGCGGACGAAAGCCCGCAGCTTTTATACTTTGACGAGCCGCATATTTCGGGGGCGTACCTTTATCGGGCAGGAAGAGGAAACATTTTCGAGAGAAAATTATCGCAAAGCCGGGAACCCGTGTAAATTATTGTTAAGCGCGGCCGCTCGCCAGCAGATAAAAAACTGAAAAGTTGCAGTCCACGCTGATTGGTCAGCGGCGCGAGCCCTCGGAGCTGCCGCCGCCCATTTCCACCCGTTGCCAGATTGTCATTCAGTTTTCTTGCTCCGCGGAGGAGGACGTCAGAGTGCTGCATGTAAGGATCCAAGAGGATGTCGTAAACTGATTTTTACTCGCGTAATGTTTCTTCCAAAATGCAAGGTGTAGGTCGACTCGTTCAGGCAAGTTGATTAGATGGTTACTTTGTCCAATTGTGCTCAATAAAATCCTGACGAAAATTGTTAGTTTCCCGGTTTGTTGAAAATTTTTTTGTTGAGTCGATTATGTCTGATTTTTATTTTGAACATTGAAAGGATCGGCCTAGACGTATGTTGATTCCTATCATGCGTGAGATGTATATATGTTCAGGGGTGCGTTGACAATTTGCTTTCGAAACGTATTGCCGGTTTCTTAGATTAAGCTCTCTGTATGACCCATCTTTCAAGAAGTCTTGCGCAGGAACCAAGCTAGCTCTGACTGAAAATTCACAAATGTTTCAACGCGGTTCATCTATTCAGAAGGTGAAAATTACGCACTGCTTGTTTCACTGAAAAAAATTCCTGTGAATTGTGCAAACAAGTCGGAGTCGTTATCATTTTTATGAACATTTTTTAATGTGTTAGCCAAATAGACTTTTCCGTGTGAGTTTCTCTCCGGAATTTTAGAATTGTTCTTTATGGGAGAAAAGTTCGCAAATCCTTATTTAGATCGAGACTTTCATTTTTGTTGAGTTTTCATCACGGCAGAAGTAGCAATAGTAAAATGAATTTACCCGAGGAAAGGAGAAAAGGGAAAACAAATGCCTTTCCAAACTCCACTTACGATCCCTCATTTCCTGTCCTCTAATAGATTTCAGTAGTGTAATTCTTTAACTATGAACTTAATATTCGGGTTTTCAAGCAATACATGTAAGCTGAGAGAGTGGTTGTGAATTCAAACCAGTAATGAGACAGTATTCCGTGCCTAAAGGGAAAAATCTCCTTCCACTGATCTCCTCGATTGCTCTCCCATCGAAGCTTAGAAAATAGAGAGTCGGAAATGTTTTACAAAAGAAAAAAATAATTAATTAATAAAATTTATGATAGGAATGAGTGTACGGAGCCACTTCCAGAAATAGGGTAGTGAGGCGCGCGGGGCGAGACTAAAATAACGCAAGTCCACATCAATTTTGCCGTGCCGACGAAAAACGACGTATGAACATTCGTTGATTTGGATGTTGCAAAATTTTCCCCGATTAAATATTTATTCTCGACGAAAGTTTTGATCGCTTTTCCTTCAAACTCTCAGATACCTCACATGAAATTGCGTTTACATTTCCTCGTAAGTACGGTGGAAAATGGTGACAGGTTTTCCAGAAAATCCTATATTTAATTAGATGAAAGTAGGCGACGTCGAATGTTCGTACGGCGTTCTTCCGCAGCAGAACGTACGCCAAACTGAGGTAGAAATCGAGAGCCCTTCAAGTCCCCGATGACCAAAATCGCCGCGAGGAAAAATCACCAAGTCTCGTGTTGACACAACGTAAATCACCCGGAAAATTCTGGAACCCTCTAGTGCCTGCTCGCCGCCTATGAAAGTCGGGTTTCTCGCCAAGGAACGTAGGAATGAGTCCACTGCAATCTCCAGCGACAAGAGTAGCTTTTTTTCTTTTTTTTTTTTACGAAAAATTACTTTAAAATTACTATAACAGCATTGGAACGGTTCTAAATTCACTCCCACGCAACTCCACAACTTGCGTAATAAATTAAGGCATTTTTGAGCTCCCCGCTTTTAAAAGTATACCAAGGCAAAGGCGTAATTTCCATAGTCCTACAAACGAAGGGTACTAGTAGCACTTAATTGATAAGCTGAACTCTACCGTCGGGACTCTTTAACATCCCATTACACCCTCTAAATTTCCACGAGATTTTGTGTGCCAAAGAAGTTTAGAATGCATGTTTATAAATTTTCCTGGGGGTGAATGAACGTTTGTTTATTGCTGCGTGAAAGTATCCTCTTTGAGCAAAACGCAGTGATGATGATGATATCCGCTCCTCTCCCTTGATATCCAGAAGATGTTCTCACTAACCCGTCCAAGAATACTCCCCCCCCCTCTCCCCCCATATACATTTATGTATCAGGGTGTCTACAAGTCCCGAATTTACGGAAAGTCCGGAAATAATACTGATTTTTTAAGGGCGGTCCATAAGTACTGAAAAAGTACGGAAATTCCGCAAGGTCTGGAATTTTTGTCATTTTTGTCGCAATTTCCGCGAGAAATTCAAATTTATGAAATTTTTCGAATTTCTTCAAATGAAGGTTCTGAAAACGTACTGAATTTCTCTGTTAAGGAGGTACTGCATTTCTCGGGAATGCACTGAAAAAATAATGTAAAATTACTAAATTTTGGCCATCCTGTTTTAGTAGACACCCTGATATATTCATGTGTATGATACTGCCGGGCCAGACACTTTCCTCCCACTTTTTAATGCAAATTAGTCGGAAGAAAAAAAGGAGAGATTAAGAGCTTTAAAACGATAATTTCACGCGACTTTTTCAGCATTTACACCGGAAGGAATTTTGGGGGCACGCAACTAAGGTTCAGCTTTTTGGATCGTGAGAAAGGTCCCAGACAAAGATTCGGAAGTCTAAAAACCTCTGCGATAAATTATCATTATATTGGGCGTTCCAAAGCGGGCGAGCCGCGAGCCCACCGCAAAGATGCGTCCGATTTTCAGTGTGAAATTAATCTGAAGTGCCTGCCTTGTATCTGAACCGCTTCTAATTCATTGCTTCTTTTTCTGTTTTCAGGTGAGTGCTGTGTAAACATTCTTTAGTCTTTATGCTCATCAAAAGGTGAGTGATAATGTGATCTTTTTACCCGGCTCGTGCGTCTTTTTCAAACTCATTCATCAAATGGACGAATTTCTGTCAAATGGAACTATGTGCAGAGAGACATGAGCCTAAGACCCATAAGAATATGTGCATAACAGAGCTCACGCCATAATGCACATAGTTCTGTTTGATAAAAATACGTCCAAATGAATCTACGCTTTCCGATTGTTCGTCCGTCAAGTCCTCGATAAAATCCAATAAGTCTAATTTTTTAAATTTTATTGTGTGTATCTTTCAGTATCTTACACCCAAAGTGATATTTAGTATCAAAGAACAAAATGCATTCATAGTTCGCTGATAAAGTGACGAGGTGCGTAGTCACATACGAGGTGCTGAATTTTCAATTCCGTTAGCATTGAAACTCTTAAAAGAACTCTCAAAGTTTTTCGCAGCAAAAATCGGAATCCTTGAAGTTTACCTTTCACGAAGTTAACCAGAAAGAAAGTAACTTACGCTTTTGGAAATTTTAGGGCAAATTAGTATCTACTTCAAGTAATAATACTTTTTTTTTTAAAATCAGAATTTAAAGTCGAAAAGTGCGCTTTGTGCAAATCTGGGGGAATTTGCCTATGAGATTAGTGATTAGTCCTTCCTGGGTCCAATCGGCCACCGGAAAGAAACTGACGCTTTCGGCGAGTAAGCTGAATTAGTTAATTTGAACATTTCCTCCCTCTGTGATACCAGAACCGTACCAGAAAGTGTGATTCCAGCGAGTTAGCAACACTGTCAATACTCAATTTGAACCCATTGAACATATCGATTCTGGGTGAGACAGGACACCTCATTTAGAATCGATTGTGTAACATATATTCAAATGGAGAGAAACAGAGGTGCCAACTTGCAATAATCGCGGCTGGTACCAGAAAACTTTTTGAAAAAAATTCAAATCAATAAGGAACAGGAACAATCGGTTTGTTAAGCACTTAAGTGTGTAGCCGAGGAAGTCCCAGGGGGCCGGAAAGGTGTGACCATAGGTTGTCGTTCAACACCAGTAGATCTTCCTGAAAGAGGAATGGGTTCGTGGGCCTACGAAAAATTCTCTAGCTTCGCAAATGAAAGAACCCGGTTCGATTGCGTTTCAATCATACAAGGAAATGTTTCTCGTCCGAGCTAATATATGTAAGCGGGTAGCGGTAGCCTGAAATACCAGTGTTTACTGCACAACCCGACACGCCGGAGTTGGGGGTTGCCGGTTGCCCCCTCTTCGGACCCCGGCGTTTTCCTTCCGCGAACTTCATCTGTCCTGGCCGGGCACAGCGATGAGACGTCGCGTCGCACAAAGGATCGAGTTAATAGGAAATGTCGGAGAAAATTTGGAATTTTTAAACGCTTAAAACTCCGTTTATACGAAACTTTGAGTTTCTGAAAGTTGTTCCGTTGGTTTGTTCGTGGAATTTTCTTCCAGAGGCACCCCGTTAAATTTAAAATGTGACGAAATAAACATCAAAATTTGCAGTTTTAGTCAAAAATTTCGTGTCCGACCTCTCTAATTGACTCGATCCACTGTGCGTCGTCGGCACGGGACATCTTCAACAGCAGCAATGAGGATGAGGAAACTCGCCGCGTCCTGCATGGGGTTTCGCCGTCGTCGTCGCTGTGCTGGGCGCCGCGACGCGTCGCGCCGTTGCGTTGCGTTGCCCAGCGGGAAGCCTTTGCCCGCTAAATCATCCGCGTTCGCCCGAATTTGCCAGACGCTAAAGCTCCTCGCAAACTGTACCAAAGTCAACACAAAATTAGTCTTCGTTTGACTTCACTTCCTATATTAACCAAAAGTAAAACAAGAACACAAATATTTTTTCTAGTCTTCATAGTCACTCGCAAGTTGCAACAGGGTGTCTACAAGTCCAGAATTTCTGGAAAGTACCGAAAAAGTACTGATTTTTCAAGGGCGGTCCGGAAGTACTGAAAAAGTGCGGGAATTCTGCAAGAAGGTCCGGAATTTTTTCATTTTTTTGGCTTTTTTGTCGCAACTCGAGCGGGAAACTCAAATTTTTGAAATTTTTCGAATTTCGTCAATTGGAAG